ACACTCCTAAACATGGCCTCCAGGGTTAGGAGCACAGACGACATACTGACAGCAGGCCAGCAAACAGCGAGCGGTAAGAGGGTCAGTTAGATTTTGATGCTAAGGCTGGAAATAAACACCAGACATCGGATATTTTTAGGATATCAGATCAAGTAAGCAACTGTCAGGAAGACAACTTGTCTTTGATTTCTGCTGTATTAATGTTACAGTCATGAGATTAGTACAGTAATAAAAAGTAGGGTAGAGGAAGAAAAAAGGGTGAATTCCACACCTTCTGGAAACTAAAAAACACACAATAAGTGTGTTAAAATGAGAAAATGACCAGTAGGTGCTGAGATTGAATTTCAAACGTGAAAAATTAAGCACACATTTTAAGGTTATACAAACGTTTGGTAATAAAAAAAAAAGGTATGTAACTGGTTGGCTGCTTTGCTTTACAGTCAGTGGTGTCAGGTAAAATCTAATATATGGTACTTTAAGAAAAGAACAAGGCAGAACGAATAATGCCCGTAGGTACAGAGAGGATTTGATGATTGCAGAGCTTGTGGAGTGTGAAATGAGTAAGAAATAGAGAGGAGGCAGTTACCTAAGTCAAGAGGAGAGGAGAGGTCAGAGACTGGGTTGGCAGCCACAGCCTTAGAGGGAAAACTTGTGAAAGGGGAATAACCTGAAATACAAGAAAAGACGGAGAGAAAGGAAAATGCAGAGAGATGTAAGGAAAAGCATAAAGCAATGTGAAGAAATGAGAGGGCAGTCAAGATTCAGATTAGTATGCAGAGGCATAGTGCTGTCTCACACATACATGAACAATCACACAGAGAAGGAGTCAGGTAGGACACTCCTGCAGAGAATCACAGCTGACATGGTGGCTCTCACTTCCTCAAAGCAAACCTATTCCGAAGCAGCACTTTACCTTGTGGTGGGGCCCCGGGTTGGAAGGCTGAAGCAGGGCCGTTGTAGGGCGGGTAGCCAGCGTAGGGTGCGGGGTATCCCCCATCCAGGGGGGCGTAGCCGGGCTGGCCGTAGCCAGGCTGGGGCTGGCCGTACGGAGTGGCCATTGGAGTGCGCTGGTTTACATTCATCCTCAGTTCATCCCTAAATCTGGATTAAAGCATGACACAATAAAAAAACATATTACAACAAATCATAACACAAGATTGAACTTATTGAACCATTTTTCAGGCTCTAAACAGAGATGAACAACAAGGATGAATGGTGTTAAAGCCAGCACGACAGGAGTGTTATTAATGAGAAAGGCTGTTGTGACAGGCGTGGGTTCCTCTCATTCTAAAGATTTACATTCTTTCCAGGAGCAGGGGAGAATCTGCCCACACAGCACACCTTGCTCCATGAGGTAAAAGTGAACTACAGACAGTCAGACACAATTGGTCTTACTTTACTGACGAGGGATACTTCAGATAGTTTGAAGTGGGGGTGTATGAGGTCCTGAGTATGTGTATTACCTATAGTAGATGGTGGTCAGAGAGCCGCCAGTTTGGAAAAAATAAAGTAGTAAGGCCACATGGCTTAGCAATGCTGTGGTAAAAACAAACTGTCAAGTTGCTAGTTCTAGCAACTAGTTAAAAAGTATTTTAACCATTAATTTCCCCAGCAGAACATCAGAGAAGTTGGTCTGTTGCTGCCTCGATCTCCTAGTGTGCTTAAGTTATTATGCGACAAAGTTGTTTGAAAGGCTTCGTCTGGATTTTAAAAAATTACTACTATTTGATAAAAGAGTCCGGTTGCTTTGAAGAAAGAATAAATCACAGCTTCCTCGTCAGATCCTAGGCTGCCTGATGGCCTGTTAAAGCATTAAATATTCAAAATATAATGTACATTTAAATTGATACACCTAATTTTTTACGTGGGAATTTTTATATGCGACTAAAATACATTTTACTGACAGTCCGTCCACAGCAGTCCATTGATTTGTTTCCATGGATGTTCTGATTTTCCAAAATGGGGGAGTGCCAACGGCCATCTGATGTTGACATCTGATGTAGACGATTAATAAGTATTTCAAACAATCCACTCTATCCCTTTAAGGCAAACATGAACCCAACTAAGTTTGCTGTCACATTACACCTGAACCAACAAACAGGAGGAGTAATGCCAACATTTCTTTTTTTCAGAATGAACAGATCTTTGCTCTACAAGTTTCCATGGCCAGAAACATATTAACTTAACAAACACACACACACAACATAAATAAATAAACATAAATACTGTTCACGAAACAAACGACCTACAAAGACACAGTACCAACACTGGAATGGGCATATGTCTCTCAAAGTGGACCACAACTTAAACCTTACAATTTGAATAATATGAATCAAAACAGACACACGGTATGATAGTAGCTAGTAGTCTCTCAGCTATTGGGGGAGGTTTAAAGGCCATGTGTGTGTAAAGACAGTCTGTAATGTCTATTGGACTCTTTATTGACCTGAGTAAGGTGTTTACAGGTCATAGGAAAACACCAGGTTCTAACTCAGTGGGACAGTCAACTTTAAGTGCATGGTTACTTCTGCATATGTCAACTTCAACGTTGCTATCAGAAGTTCACAACATGGCGTTGTTTATGCATTTGGCACCTGAAGACTGGGCTTACCTATATGACAGACATGATGACAGAGTGATAAGTATCATCTTACAGAGAAACACTGGCCAAACGAGCGGGGCTTTGAATAATTCAGCGGTGCAGGTGTCACAACGAGAAATACAATCGCTGTAGCCGTACAGCCTTTTAACTAGTGTGTGGGGCCTACTGAGTGACCCACATCTACTCTCCTGACTGGGCTGCATATTTAAGGGATTCAGTTAGCAGTTTCAGTAGAGACAGTAGAAAGCTATTCAAAACGGGCAAATATTTGAGAATAATACACGTATGCCAGCTTCGTAGGGGTGAGGAGTGATAGCTGCCAAACTGAGGAAAGCTAGCAGTGTGCTAACGGGAACAACCTCAGTGCCGCAGTACAGTTAGCTGGTTAGCTTAGCTTATGTCAAGCAAAACCTCAAAACAGAGTCTGGTTAACAAGCCGTGGCTAACTGTTGGGAGTTTACCAAAACACAATACGGCATATTTGATTCCGTAATTCATGGGGGCTATCTAAGCTTGCTAACGTGAGCAACCACACAGCTTGAATCATGATGACAGCAGCAGTGGTTGGATCAGCTGTGACCAGATCGCCACAACCAGGGACAGCTAATGTTAGCCTACTAGCTTAGCTAGGCTAGTAACCTCCAGCTATTTCGCAGAGCGATGCTAGCCCTGCCATAGCAGTAGCTAGCATTAGCAAGCATAGCAACATTCAAGCTCTCACGTCAAGCCGGGCAGGGATGTCACACATTCCCTTGTTTTATATCGAAACCTACCTCCAAAGTGTTGTAAAGAGTAAGGATATCCTCTGCTTGGAGCAAACGTTGAAACCCGGTGACCGACAAACTGTGAAGTCGATGTCGTCCCGGGGTGTTTCTCACTAATCCCTTCTCGGAATCAGAAGCGGACATTCAGCGGAACTGCTGCAGCGCTGTGCCACGTCCACATCCGGACAGAGAGACTTCCCCCAAACTCACCTCTCCTACCGAGAGCTCCGCTCTGGTGAATAACTGTAAGGAAGCTTTTCTATGAACTCAGGTGTTTAAAATAAAAGTAAGTATGAGTTCGACGTGTTATTGTCTAGCTTGTGTGAAGGTCATTAGAATCTCCTTCAGTGGCAAGTATGTGTATGTGTAGCTTATAAGGAATTTGACCCCTGGTGTTTACATTGCTCTAACACAGAAATAGACGTAACAGATAGGAACAAGGATAACAAAGCTGAGCCAACAAATGTAATTAATCGACAGGGCTATTATGTTTCAGTGATTAAACATAATTAAATACATTTACTCAAGTAACCAAGTAAAGTTGTGTGACTGCGTCTTGCGGCTGCAATTCTAAGTGACAACATCTGTCCACAGAGAGACAGACATATACAAACCTAGCAAAGTACTCAAAAAGGTTTCAGTTCCTGCTGTAGGTGTCTCAAGCAGTACATTTTGCCATAATAAAATACACACAGACTCCCAAGGTGCAAACAATACCAGCGTTGTGTGGGTTTTCACCTGTTTGCCATTGACACACATAGCAAGTATAGCTAATCCTTCCAGTCATCTATCAAATAATTATAATGTGACAAGATGTGGCCATCTGAAATGGGCCTAGCTTCACCAACAACTTAAAATCATCCCAGGCCAATATCTGGCTGCCATTTGGCTACATTTTGGGGTGCAAACTGAACCACCTAATGGGACAAATTTGGGCCCAGCTCTCCTTGCAATCAGGTCCAATTTGGAATTATTTTAGGGCGCCATTCATCACAAACCTGTACGAATTTCATTAGATTAACACAATTAAGCTGCACATGGACCAAGTCATTTTGGCTGGCTAGACTCTGCAATCCTCTGCCTTTAATCTGCATGATCAGAGGTGATGAAGCTGATGAACAGAATCCTGAGGGCCAGAATTCATCGTTTTTCCTATCGTAGCAGAAAAGCTTGCCAAGATATAACTTTCCCCCATTGACTGAACTTTTTTATGACATTTTGGGACAGCTGAAGGAACAACACACAACTTAAAAGGTCAGCTCTCTCTAGTAACACTCTGATGCCAATAGATAAATAAAAAACAACTGAAATTCCTAAAATATTTTCTCTCCACCCCCCCCTGTGCTATAAGGTTGGGGCACTGTGGGTAGATGAAGACAAATGTTCGAGCTGCAGCCGCTGACCTGATCGGCTGAGCTGAGGGTCAAAGAGGGAGGGGTGGTGGTTATTTTGGGAGAGTTTATCAGCAAGCATCCCGTCCTGTGCAGAGTGCCTGAGAGTGACATGGCAAGTGTTGAATGTGAGAGAGGATGAACACACACACACACACACACACACACACACACACACACACACACACACACACACACACACACACACACACACACACACACACACACACACACACACACACTATTGCCCCTTCTCACCCTCCTGAGCGCCCACCCTCCGACACAGCATTCCAGTGTAGCAGATGAAGGCCAGCCTCCCTCTGTCTCCCCGTGGGTGGAGAGATTTGCCGTGGTCACAGAGAGGATCGAGAGAAAGACCTCACTCATTGATACTCGAGGAGTGTGAGGAACTGAGGAAGGGGAGAACCACTTATTCACCATCATACACACACACACAGCAGGCTGTGAGCTGGGATGGTAGCTGAGGAGATTGTGGTGTCCCTCGCTGGAGGCTCCCCGTGGGGCTTCAGGCTGCAGGGTGGAGCGGAGCAGCAGAAACCTCTTCAGGTGGCTAAGGTACAGTTTGTGCGTGTGCATACATTATGAGGCAGAAAAGACTTGTTGCCAAGGTGGTAACATGAGTAGACAGGTTTAATGGAGACTGCAGCTGTTAATTGCGGTCTGAGGCCTTGTCTTGGTTTTGTGGTTTGCTGTGTTTGTAATCCATGCGTTGGTTAGAAACTTTATCGTCAACATAAAATCTGAATAAATGAACTCGTAGCTCATTTAATTGGTGTCCCTCTGGGCTTTATTTTGGTGCCATCATATTTTTTCGGGTGTAAAAAAAAGAAGAAATCTTGTCAGTGTAATCATCTAGTTCTTTCACACACATTTTAGTCAGTAAATGTTTTTCTTGTTTGTTTTTAGCTCATTTTTAAAAGGCAAAATGTACCGTATTATGGAGAGCATTTGTAAAATGGAGAGGGATTAGTTTGATGAGTGATTAAAATGCTTTGAAAGTAAGTGTTACTCAGGAAAATTGAACTGTTCTACTGGTATTTGAGTCGTTTTGACCAAAAGTTATCATATCGCTGCAACAGAAAAATTATCATATTCTCAAATGTTCTCATGATCTTTTGGTCAAAGCCAATTCAATACACTCTTGTGATTCTGTTGGGTTTGTGGGTAAAAGCGTGAACACATGTTTAGAGATTGATCCTGACTTAGGTGTCATCACTGCATCCTAATGCGATCACGCAGTATCAGAGACTATCAGTGTCTACTGTGAACACACACACACATACACACCCAGTCAATAATGAACTTGTTTCAGATCTGTCATCGTCACATATTTATTAGATATAATAATCCAACTTAAAGCCCCCAGGAAAATTCTCCTTTTTTCCAGTTTGGTTTTTCCAAAAGCTTTTTGTGTCTGTGTTTATGTTTGTTGACAGTCCAGTATGTAGTCTCTAATAAGAACATCTATTCTGGAGAGGAGGAATGCGACCTCACTCACACTGACGTTACAAAAAGTTGGCCGGTCACTCATGAGCTGTCATAACTTTTGATTCAAAATGGAGGAGGAGTGGCTTTGGCACGATAGGCCTCTCTTTATCCAGGATTTGAAGGCAGATAAGGTCACCTTTGATATGAGTTTGATCAGTGTGTGCTTCATTGTGTTGGTGTATATGTGACCTGTCTGTGGGTGTGTGTGGTTGGGCATACCTTAGATAAGCCCATTTGGGAATGGACCACAAACTAGAGGATCAGAATTGCTCATTTTAAGAGGGGTTGGAAGCTGAGAATAGAAAAAGGCCTTTTGTTCACACACAGAGCCCAACATTGAAACATTTCCTGTATTATGTAGTTTTATTTGTAAGTCAGTATTGGCCCAATATTGGTGCAATTGTTAGTTTTAATTTCTGTTTTCCATCACATTAGCGCCTCTCTTTCTTGTCTGTTGATATTCCTGCCAGGTTTTATTTTGGGTTTGTGGGGAACATATGGTGAATGACAGGCATCTCCCGGTGGAGACCAGCTGTTAAAACCCCCTCTTTCAAGTTCACGTGTGTGTGTGTGTGTGTGTGTGTGTGTGTGTGTGTGTGTGTGTGTGTGTGTGTGTGTGTGTGTGTGTGTGTGTGTGTGTGTGTGTGTGTGTGTGTGTGTGTGTGTGTGTGTGTGTGTACATTTGTATGAGTGGGAAAGTACAAGATAGGCAGCTTGTCTTTGCTTGTGTGCTCTATGAGCCAGCAATGTGATTAATGGGTCAAGAGATACCGATAAAGGCAAATAGAGTCCAAGTAGGTGCGGGAACACACTTTCCATTTTTGCAGATAAGCCGTATGTATTATTAGTGTGAATATGTGAGAGAGAGGCTTTATCTTCTTCTAATAGAGGAAACTGCAATCTGGTGGACAAGAATACTTTCATTCCCATTTATCACCCACCACCCACAGACATACTTCCTGAAGGATCCTATGACATCATCTCTTAGCGACCTCCAGGAACAGCTGCATGACTTCAGGAGTTATTCTGATACAGGGGGCAAGGATGGCTGTGGGTGAAAAACATTGGAGCTTTAGGTCAATCTGTAGGACTTTTACAGGGAGAACATTAAAGTAACAAATCTGCATGACTGCCACTGAAATGATTTAAAGCCCTAAAAAACTTTTATTATAATATTATAATTTTCTTTTAGGATAACATAAGATAAAACATTACTGTATCCATCGCAAATTTCTTGGAAAGTGTTCCACCTCAATTTCAGAAGAGTTTACATTTAGAAGTCTAAGTTACATTATTTTTAAGCAAACAACTTTCTCTCTTTATATTTAGTAAATGTTCAACAAAGTGTGGCAGGTGCACTTTGATGAGGGTATTTTTACAGTGGGCTGGCATCAAGAGCAAACCACTTCACAACTTTAATAAAATCTGTCAATATGAATCTTAAAGTGCAAATATAAACTCTAAGATAACAACAAGGTGCAAACCCGAAATAATATATAATCTGCAATACCAAAATGTAATCCTGAGTCCTTCCACTTTCAAATCAGTTTGACATCAAATAAAATCTCTGTGTGAATGAATAGTTCAAATAACTGTAAAATGTCATTTCATTCATGTACTGTATGACCCCATCACTAGTAGTAGAAAGCTGCTAAGACACTATGTTTAAAGTCACTTTGTATGTGAAAAAAGCTTTATTTGTTGCTGTGATGTATATCACAACATATTCATCATTCAGGCTTAAGTTTTAAACTGTTCCTGACAACAACAGAAGCAAAGTATTATTTCATGTAAAAATACATCATATTGAGAAGCTTCGGTTAAAATATAGGAGTTAGCACTAAAGAGGTTCACAATAAGTTTTGTGGGACATTTTGTGAAACTTAAAACAACAAAACAGAGGTTCCTAATATTGGGGTTGTGCTCCCACAGGGCTTGCAAGAAAAACAAGAATAAATTATGTCATTCTTCCTTTATTCTAAGCGTTTATTTCTTGGGAAATAGTAGATATCTTCGACTGGAAAACCCTTTGGACACAACTTGTAGACATCAGTGTCATAAATAATATAAATGCTAATAAGTATTGGAAGGTGAAGGTCAGATGGGAAAGTAGACAATTTATCAATGTGTATATTCACAGCAGTTTTCTTCAGCTACCAGTATGAACATGTTATTGATCCCTGTCTTCTCTCAGGTACGCCGGCGCAGCAAAGCGTGCAAAGCTGGCCTGAAGGAGCATGACGAGCTGGTTGCTATTGGCGACCATACGTGTGCCGGGCTCAGTCACTCTCAGGCCATGACCCTTATAGACACGGAGCTTGCTACGCTCTACCTCAGGGTCAAAAGGTCAGAACATGGACCCCCACACTGTACTTAAATCAGTATTTTTTAAATGAAGCTGTTACAAGCAAACTGATGTGTGTTTTTCATTTTCAAAACTCGATGTCCCCAGGGCACCTTCTGGATTCCACTCCTCTCACTCCTCCGTTAGGGTCCTGTCTCCCCCCGTGGGAGCGTTGCCCGACCATTGTCCCTCTATCCTCTCCCCCACCGGGCTATACAAGGGCATCACTTCCCCTCCGGACAGCGAGGCTTACTACGGAGAGACGGACAGTGATGCAGACACACAGTCTCTCACACACCGCCGCCAGCGCCGCACCCCTCCTCACGCACGCTCACCTGCGCGCTATGACAACCACGAAGAAGAGGAGACCTCAGAGATGAGTGGGTAAGGGACAGAGACTAAAAAGGTTTCTTTTGTCAGTCTTTCAAAAAAAGCGGTCACATAATAACTGATCTATTTCTAAAAAAGTAGTGAGGGCAAACTTTTTTTACATAGGCTCCCTTACTTAAGTTAAACTAGAAATACCATAGTCTTCATATATTCTATTACAAATAAAAGTCCTGAATTATAAATGTTACATTGGTCAAAGTGCAGAAGTATCATCAGCAAAATGTATTTAAGTTTAAAAAGTAAAATTATGCAGAATGACTACTTTTAAAGTGCTTTTATATAATCATTTTTTATCACATGTACAGTAAGAGCATTTTAATGTTTGCCAATGTGGAGCCAGTTTGAGAGAGACTTTTTTTAATGTAGTGGAGTAAAAAGAAAATGTCCTTCTGAAATGTATTAAGTAGAAGTACAAAGAAAATGCAAAATTGAAATGCTCATAGTGCTCATAGTGCCACCATATGTGGGAATTTTACGTACAGTACTAGAGTAAATGTACTTTGTTACTGTCCTCAATTGCTAAAGAGGATATCTAGCACTGCAGTGTTATAATCTGTTGTGTTTTGTCTTTCCTCTGAGGTATGAGAGCGCCACAGATGGAGGAGCTTACATGCAGGGACAGTGGGACTCTCAGTGTCTCCCTGGTGCTCCTCGCAGAGAGCTCATCTACCAGCCCCCCCAGACCGAGTGGACCACTCCAGCACACACCCCTCACACTCCGACCCCTGATCAGGGCCTGATGGAGGCGGAGGGAGAGGTGGACAGTGGGTTCCAGGAGGCAGGGGTCTGCTTTGCCTGCCCACCGCTCGTGTCTCCTGAGCGGGCGAAAGAGGCCCTGATGTCGGGCTCTGGGAAACACCTGGTGCCCATGGTGGGACCCCAGCAGACCCCGGTCAGCGACGAGCTCTCCACCACCTACAAGGAAAAAGCACGGCAAGCTAGTGAGTATATCTTCAGACAAAACTAAATAATCCAGAGATCGCAAAGTGGTTAACAAGGGAAAAGAAAAAAAGGGAAAGTCATATACAGTGCATATACATAATGGGAGAAAAGTAAACCATACAAACAAAGTTATTAAAACATGTGTTAGTTCTATTCATGGTAGTAAATTCATACATATGCCAGCCTTCATGCACATGCGATTACAAAACATAGGTTCTAATCAGTGTTTTTGTAGCAATTTAAGCATCAATACCACCTGATTGCTGAGGCTGCTGAGAGACCACACCTGAAAAACATAATGACATGTCCATCTTTGTGTAGAATTTAAATTGTTTGAGGAATTAAATAAAAGGGTTTATGGACAAAATTGTCCTAATTTTGAAAAAACCTACAAGATCATTCAGATATGTCAGAGGTAACCGTGATCTGATGGTAGTTACATGTATTTATTACAGTTATTCAGAAAATCATGTTTATTTGAATTCTATGCATACAAATTCATTATTTTCTAAATAACTCTAATAAAATAATAAATTGGTATAAGTGGCTTGCGGCTCCACAGTGAGATATTATTTCAATGCTTATTTTACTTACTGTTTTCAATCAAGTTGGAGAATAGTAAACCAGCTATTAACTTAAAACAGAAGTCATTTTAGTTTCTCATGGTGATGCAGCTAGACTATTTTTAGTTTTGACTTTTTTTTAATTGAAATTCCAAAGATTCCCTGGTGTCTTTAAAGGCATCAGCTGTGTCTATTGTGAAGCTCATCAATAGCTAGACCTCCCTCTAGTGGTTATTTTTTTCAACCCAAGCCTCCAGTTACATTTACAGGCTGGTGGTGATAGGGTGAGATATACCAGACACCTGCAGAGGTATTCCACCTCCCCCATTTCCCCCCATTTCCCCCCTTCCTCCCCCCTCTGTCCCCTCAAACCGAAGTCCATCTCTTCTGTCAGTATTCAGAGCATTTGCCTCACTCGCTGTATTTATAGGTATTGAAGCTTCTGATCAACAGACTGGACACAACTTTGACTTACAGCCCAAACAGCTGAATATGTGGGGTGTGCTGGCATCAATGTGTGTGTATGTGCGGTGTATTGTACGTGTGCAAAGTGGACTATGAATCAGTGAAGTGCCTATGATGCTTTAAACATTTGATTGATTGATTAGTCAATCAAAGTCATCTACCTAGAGAAATGCCAAAACTAAACTGCCGTTCTCTCCTTTATGTTATTGTTAGTTAAATATATTTTGGTTTTTGGCCAAAACTAAAAATGGTGGCTAATGTTGTGAAAAAGGATAGGGAAATATATCCTGAGATAAAAGTACAAGATATGTTACGTTTGTTTTTCATACTGTTCTATATTCGTTTTTGTTCCAATACAAAAAGTATAGTTTTATCTCTCCCTGCTTCCAAAAGGTGTCATATTTAACTCTCTAATGGCAGTACAAGTAGTCTAAAGTACATGATGCTTTATATTTAGCAAAACAATTGGAAACCACTAGACAATCGATAAAGGAAATCATTTGTCTGTTGCAGCCCCACATAATTCCTACTGTGCTGAAGAGATGTATTTCAAAGGAATGCTTTGACAATTGGGGAAACACACGTCTTACTGAAAGTAAGATGAGAACAATCATAAGATTGAGGGATTTAGCCTATAGCTTAGCATCAAGATTGGAAACAGGGAGGAACAGCTAGCTTGGCTGTGTCCAATGGTAACAAAATCTGACGATAAACACCTCTATAGCTCACTAATTAACATGTTTTATCTCATGCATACAAAAACCAAAGTATAAAAAAGACAATTTGCAGTTTGTGAAGGAATATTCAGTGAAATATCTCGCCAATAAGCGTATAGAAGTAGAATAATTCCCATAATGTCGAACTATTCTTTTAATCTCCAAAGTTGAATTATCCTAGTCTGGTTACCGTATCATTATACCAGGACATTGCAGCTGATCAAACTGAATAGCTATGCACTGACCGAGTTGAGACTATAGATGAGCGAATGTTGCAGTAATGAGGGATCTATCATCTGGTACAACAGGCTGAAAGACTTAGGTTAGGGCTTTACTCTAGGACAACTGATGACCGATTCTGGTGTTCAGGGACCTGCCCTTTCTCACGTTACACACACACACACTGACGCACGCACGCACGCACGCACGCACGCACGCACGCACGCACGCACGCACGCACGCACACACACACACACACACACCCGTAGCAGTATTTGTTATGTGTGAAGTGTCAGCAGCAGAGAACGGCACATCAGTAAGAGTTATGACCAAGCTCTCTCCATCCTCTATAAACTATAATTAGCTTTATGAACTAATAAACACACACAAACACATTGATACACACACACTGAATGACACTGCTGTCTAAATATCCTCTGGTGAGGGGTCTTCCTGTCCTTGTGTTCCTGTGTATGTGTGTGTAGGTGTGTGTGTTTGTGTGAGACAGGACAGGTGTTTGATGCCTGTCAGACAGACAGGAATAGTGGGTTGACATCATGTGTTGATTTGGGTTACTGGACTCAGACAAAGGTCTTTACATGGGCTGTGCCCTGAGGGAAGAGTGTGAAGACAGAGATTCAGAGCAGAACTGGACTCTGTGAGGGTGTGTGTGGGAGGATCTGAGGGACTTTAATGATACACACACACTCACATTTGTGAGATGAGGGACCTCATATCTACTTCAGATTCAGACCTAGGTGGACACAGAATCCCACACACCGTGTACGCAGGTAAGACCCTTCTATGAACTTTATGTACATGTAGACTCACTCACATTAGAGGTCATTTGTTTGCAATGAATTGCCATGTTTCAAAATGAAGAGGAAGTACTAATTATCATGCTCTGTTAGCACCTCTGAAGGTTGACCTTTAATCTTTACCTCGGATGGTAAATCTTATTTTGTGGTGTTACATTGTAAAGAAAATAAATATAAGCTGATATGTCAACCAGTAATGATGTATCTACTTGATGAAGTTGTGTTGCTTATTGTGGGTCATAATTCATAATTAATTAAATAAATTACAAATGATCTTTAGCTATGTTTGGCAACATGGCTCGAGGGGTAGCAAAGTTGGTCCGCCTGTCGGTTGGTTTGATGAGTCAACCACATAAATCGGGAATTAGATATCTCAACAAATACTGGATGAATGGGATGCCATTTCGGTTCTTGGGCGAAATGCTTTTAAAATAATTGATTATCATGACATATGGTCTTTATTCATTTTGCCCTATGGATGAATTTCATCTAGTGCTATGAATGGGTGAAACCATATACTGTGGTGTATGACCAAATACCTACAAAAAGAATAACACCCTCACCAGCCAGGCAACTTGTTTTTGGTTAGTGCTGATTACCAAATGCCAAAATGATAAACTAAGATTTGTTTTGCTTCCAGTTCAACTCTGATAACTGCTTTGAACCTTGTTATATCAAGTCTTTGTTACAGATATATATAGGCTACTTTACAGCTTTTCAACTGAAATATCAAGTTACATAGTGTGTGTGTGTGTGTGTGTGTGTGATATGTGTGTGTGTTTGTGTGGTTATGTCTTAGTAAACTTGACTTTATGAACGCCCTAACCAACCGAGGGTGCATTAATAGCCAAGAAGACATAACCTCTCAAATAGCCTTGGACTAAGCAGAGATACAGACCTCTGCACACACATACACTCATGCAAGAACAAGCACAGGGGTGTGTCACTAAACTCTTGAGAGCAGCAGGAATTCTTTGTTCCAAATCCACAACACACACACACTCCTGTCTGTCACCGGTAATCCTCACTGTATCATTATCGTATAAATCAGCCTCTGTTGTGGTCAGTGACGACAATCACACTGTTGTTTGTTGCATCTTCTTTGTTATTCGTTTTCAAATATCCCTCCTTTGTTTCCTCTTTCCCTCAATACCTTTAATCTCTTTCCTCTTCCTGTCTTTCAGAGTTGCACCGAGGCGAGAGTGTGGTGGAGAAACAGGTGAAAGAAGCTCGCACCAAATGTCGCTCTATTGCCTCTTTGCTGACTGATGCTCCCAACTCCAACTCGAAAGGGGTGCTTATGTTCAAGAAACGCCGGCAAAGGGCCAAGAAATACACGTTGACCTGCTTTGGAAAAGCTGAGGGAGATAGAGGAGGGGATACAGAAGGAGACACGGGAGGGGAGACAGAGGAAGAAGGAGGAAGCTCCATACTGAGTGGCTCTGAAGTTGATGAAGAGGGATTCTCAGCATTTGACCCTACCTGGGACACTGGTTATCTAGACCTGCTGGACAGGAAGAGCTCTGCCTGCCCATCAACCACACCGACAACTCCAACCATGCCAACAGCCAATCACAGCCAAGGGCTGGACATCTCCGCCTATTATACTCCAGAACGTGTGACATCTGTCAATCAAAACCCAGGGTTGGAGGTCTCAGGATTGGAGAGCTCAGCCTATCACGGTGCAAGGCTGGAGAGCGGCATTACCAAGCAGCCAATCAGTAACCACGCTGCACACATGTGTCCTCCATCTGTGGCTATGACCAATGGGGGGTCAGTAGCTGTTAGTCGGGCTAGTGTCATTCTGAGCCCATCTCAGACGCCCTTTCAAAGCCAAAATGGGCAACATGGCAACCCTAACCCTTGTCCTAACCCTAATCTCAGTCCAAGCACAATGACAGACTCAGACCAACACCTGAATCCAAATGTCCTGAACCGCACTGCGCGCCCCTTCACCCCAGGCCCTTCCTCTTCTCGTCCATCTGTAACCTCTGTGATGTTCCGCCCTCCCCAACCCAAACCCACAGTTGCCGCCATGACAAACAAACCAGCGGCGGCCGTCTCCATGGTAAACCTCCAACCTACTCGGATTGCACAAGGACCTGATCCAAGGAGAGCGGTTTCTAGCACTTCTCTGTACATCCCTGCAAGAAACAACAACATCCACAGTCCCCCATCTGTTAACCCTCCTCCCTCCTCTCCACACTTCTCCCAGCCTGCCACAAACCCACCCACATTTAACCCTCAGCCCGCAGGGAATGGTTACCCCTCCGCCCCATTCTCCCCTTCCACAGCTCAGAGTACCCTGTTTTATCCACCACCTGCTCAACCTTTCTCCCCTCCGGCTCCACAGCCATATACTTCTTCTCCTGCTCCTACTTATCCACCTTCCTCCAGATACATCTCTGCCCCTCCCATCTCCCAACCACATAACCCTGATCTGACTCAAGTCTCCTTCCATGCCCAGCCTACCCCTCCTCCTCCTACTCCTCCAACCCAACCTTCTCAATATCCACCTGTCCACCCCTACGTCAACATGACAGGCTCTGCAAATCCTGGCCCCCATGCTGCCATGGCAACTGTATCACCTCTGCAAGCTCCTGCCTCTGATTCTCTGGCGTCACGAGAGGAGCGCATCGCAGTCCCTGCCGCTCGCACCGGCATCCTGCATGATGCCCGTCGTCGCAGCAGCAACAAGAAGCCAATGTTCTGTGCAGTCCAGAACAGAGATGTATCTCCAAACCCAGACCTGCTGTCGATGGTCCAGAACATGGATGTTCATTTTGGGAGAGCTCCTGGTGTTGAACCTACAGCTACACCCAGTGGGGAGGCCGGACATGAGTCAGGGCCAGAGGAGGACTGGCTGAGGCTGGGGGCAGAGGCCTGCAACTTCATGCAAGCTCAGCGAAGAACCAAGCCACCCCCTGTAGCCCCCAAACCCCAAACCCCTCAGGTGCCACAGCTAGCGGGTAAGGGAGGTGAGCTGTTTGCCCGCAGGCAGAGCAGGATGGACCGGTACGTTGTGGAGCGATCTCCCTCTGTTGCTGCAGTGCCTTACTCCCCTGCCCAGACGAGGGAGCCCTCACCAACGCCTTCTCTTCCTTCCACCTGGAAGTACTCCTCCAACATCCGTGCCCCACCTCCCATCAACTACAACCCCCTCCTGTCTCCCTCCTGCCCTCTGAAGGCCCAGAAGAAGCCTGTGGTCACAAAGTCTGGGGTGGCTGGATCTAAAGGACAGAAAAAGGGTCTCAAGTCTATCGACATTATGAGCCACCAACCCTACCAGCTCAACTCTTCCTTGTTCAGCTATGGCGGTGGGGTTCCCCAGGACACCTCCAACTATCAGAAGCAGGGAGGAATGACCAAGGGTCCTCAGAAGACAGCACGAGTATATGAGGTGAAGCGCTTTTCCACGCCTCCGCCAACATCCACAGGGCCTGCTCTCAAAGTGATTGTACCTCGATCAGCTACGACACTCGGAGAGCCGATGTGGCGATCTGATGTCACCTCTCCTCCACCCATTGCTGGCCCAGTCCCCTACCAACCCTATCAACCTCAATGCCAAACTTACCAACCTCAGTGGGCCACCTCCCCTTTGTCTCCCCCACCTCCCCCTGCCCCTACAGCTCCACTTCCTCAACTTCCCAACTTCTCAGCTGCTCCTGCTCCAAATCAAGTACCTACTTTCTGCCACCTTCCACCCTCCAACTCTGCGCAGGCCAACAGGCAGTTTAAAAGTGCACCAGATTTGAGTCCAATTGGCCCCAATGGTTCCTCTCGGCCAGCACCCTGCAGCAATCTACCTAACAGAGTCCCCAGACCCAGGTTCAGCACTTCAAACATGGGTCTGCAGCCTAGTGTCTGGCGCCCTGGATTCACTATGCACTAAACAGACTCTGGACTGCACATAATAAACCATGGCTCTTTGAGAACATCTAGCCACATGTTCTAAATAGGTCCATGTATTTTTAGTATTGTGACATTGTTATTCAGTGCTGCGGCCAGCCACGTTTTATCACCAGATCTGTTTGGATTAGCCACCCATGTAGCACATTTTATCGCACACATTTAATCTTGTTTACTTTTTTTTCTGCAATGCTTTAGCTGTAGCTAGAGGGAACATTTTTTTTTTTAGCAAAGTCAATGTAGTGTGGCAACCAGAGAAAAGTATAAAAAAAAAAGGAGAACAGCAGCTTGAAAGAACAGAAGTAGATGCTGGGTGAAACTAAAGCAAAGTTCTGTAAATATTGTATTGAATGATGAAGAATTAAGTTTTAACATAAAAAGAAGAATAGAGGATGTGAAACGATAAAACTGTTGTAAGAGAGACGAGCCAAAGATGTGAAAAGGATGGAAAGGAAGCACAGATGAAGTGACATTATAGAAACATATTGGGTATAAAAGGTGTGGATTTTATTCATAACTTCCCAATCTGCAAAACATCCTTCATAAACATATCAGAAAAGGTGCTTTATGAAGAGATTTGAAGGAGCTACTGCTAATGTTATTCCCCCTCTGTTATATACATTTTAAGGAGTTGTGTTTTATGATTCTGTGTGCCTTTTTTTTTAGTTGCAATCTGCAGCAGTGTGTGTTTTGTTTTCTGTAGTTTCTCATCGGGCGAGGAGCACTGCTGCCACGAAGAAGGGAAGCCTTTTACAGTAGTCTTGATTTCCGATATGTAGATATGAAACAAGAGATGTATAACATGTCAGTTTAGCTTTTTTCCACATACATGCGGTTGAATAAAAATAGACATGACTCACCTCAGCTGTCACTCTGTTTCTGCCTGTGTCACCCACCCCTACATTACTCTATCTCCTCCTCTCATTCATTTTTTCCATTCATCTCTCTTTCAGGCATTTACTGACTCGTCTAATAGCTTAATTGCTCTTCGGGGATTTTAAAGACCAAATACACAGCCTTTGAAGTGATAGTTCCGGCATCAGGAAATGTTTGTTTTTTTACTTTCACCACATGGTGGCACTGTAGGATGTGCCATCTAGACATGCTGCACCACTACAGTTTATGGGTTGTCTCTTTTACATAACTAGAAAGTGCATGTTTGACATTTAACAAAACAGTTATACATCTGGCAAGGGGGGTGTGGGGATGGTTTACATTTTGTATCCTTTATTTTATCATTCATCTTAAATATATTTTCTAGATCCTTACATGGAGCCTATATTTAGAAATCCGGTTGAATGAAGAGATTCAAAATGTAAAATGCATTCATCTCTTTTCATACTCTTCTATTTTAGATTATGTTCATGATAATTGCAGTTGAACACATCTTTACAGGATTGTTGGCCTCCATTTTAGAGCAGTTTAAATATGCCGACTGATGGCCTTGGAGCTGTGAAACCCAACCACGACCACAGAAAGGGATCTAACCTCTGACCCGTGACTGAGATCAGGTGACAGACGGGGCTAACTTTAGCTGCTAACCTTAGTCCTGTTCAGGTCCACTGGTAAGCTTATAGCTGCTGTGCTAGTGGTAGGTACCACACACACACACACACACACACACACACACACACACACACACACACATCGAACTCCAAATTCATTTTTCTAAAACTAACATTTTGAAATACATAAAAGTGGTAACTGCACTTATAGTAATGACTGTAGCAGCTCTTTCAACTATTTGCTAAATTACCAAATTAGTTACACACACACACACACACACACACACACACACACACACACACACACACACACACACACACACACTCCATTTCACCTATTTCTGAAGCTGTTAATCTCCAGCTATTTGGTTAAGCTAAACTCTTAATTCCGATGGCCTTTTTTACAATGTGATTGAAAGCTGAGGGGAGGTGCCACCTTGTACATCCTGTCTCCTCCCGATGCTTTCCCAAAGTGCCTCTTTACTCACGTAGTGGTTCTGGGTCAACAGAGTCAAATGTCTAGGGTAATGGGTCAGGGTTTAGGGTCAGGTCAGATAATGGACAAATACATTTATTTTTAGGTATTTTAAGACTAAATAATAAATTACAATTAATTGACTGATCTGTTTGGCTTAATTCACTATAACTAAAAGGACATTTTTAATAAGCAGGCAGCTTGGTAATAAACCCTCTATCTGGGAGTTATAGACTGATGGATTTATAACCAGGCTACACACACATCTCTATCAAGGACACCTGGCCTGTCCAATTTCAGGACTGCCACACTGCATGGGTGATTTTTATCTGTGCTAGTGGCATGCTCTGGCATAGCAATCTTAAAGGGCCTGTCGGCAATGGTGCAATGGTGCTTGGTTGACTCACCATTTTTGTCCAGACTGCAATATCTTAACAGCTATTAGATGCCATTAAAAATGTACTGACTTTTCTGTTCCCCAAAGAATAATTCTTACATATTTGGTGAATCGGATTATATTTAGCGCCACTGGCAGGTAAACGTTACCTCTGAAATATCTGAACAACTAGTAGATGGATAAATCTGGTGTTGCAGACATTCATGTTCCCCTTGGGATTACAGTATATGTTATCAGTTTGGTGAGCCTTTCACATTTTTTAAAGGTCACATATCATGCTATTTTTAGGCAATAGCATAGGTCTCAGATATATAAAAATATATAAAAAACATGTCTGTGAAGTGTTTTGCTCAAAATACCAAACAGATCACCCATTCTAGCCATGCCTCATATCCCTCTATTTCACTTCCTCTTTCAAAAGTGCTGATTTTATGTATAAAGCTTTAAAAAAAAGAATGATAAAAAAGAGGGGGGAATTTATGCCTGCTCATGCGGGAGATTCTACCGGCAGCTACTGCGGTGATGAAACGCCATATCATGGATTATCAAGGATTATTTCTGAAACAGGATGGAGCTCAAAGGCTTTCTCTCTTGCGAGTTATACCACGAGGCGAGTTCCTTTTTATTTCCTGCTTCTTCACACACATGCTCTCTCCAGTACAGGTTAGCTCTGAGTGTTAGCGATGCTAATGTAAACACCGACCATATTACGTCCAAAACAGTCGGGCATTGTTTCTGATAGCAACGTTTCTGATAGTACTGTGGGCTGTTGTTCTCTCTCTAGCTCTATTTTTCATCTCTACTGACCCCTGAGTAACCCCTTTCACCCTTGTTTTAAACATTGTCATTTGAATATATATAAAGGCTTCTGGTTGACTCCTAAAAAGCAGGTGACTGACGAGGAACTCACACTGTAGCCGGGAGCATACAAGGCATGAAGCCACAACATTTGTTTAGCTGGAGGAGGATGAATAGAGACTATGAGAGGGGGAGAAAGACACATCAACAAAAGCATAAATGCCCTTAAGCACATAACACCAAGAGACAGGGGAAGAAGGTAACTGCTAGAAATATGTTTTCTATTCTCAGGTTTTATTTGTCATCTTATCAAAAGCTGCTGTTGTTTCCCTGTGAATTGAAGGGGTGGGACAAATGATTCTGGCTTGGAATTCAATGAAATCATTGTACTGATCCTTATCAATTTTACTAGCATCTGCTGACTTTCACAATCAGGATTAAATATATGCTACCAATGCATTCCTTCCCTGTGTTCCAAAGGCTTATTATCAAATGTTATGAATTCTTGCTGAACTATTTCTTCATTTTAAAATAGCCCTGGTTTTTCTGAAAAGGAAAAATATGGGACACCAACAGGTTATATTTTTAAAGTCACCTTTCCCACTTGACAAAAAACAAAACATCATTACTGTCAAATCACAAAATGCAAAACCTGCACGTGCACATTTTGTTTTGATTGGAAAAGGGTATAAGTTACATGTCATCTTAACATTTGTAATTTATTTGTTTATATGTTTTTTTTTATACATAGATAAAGTTGATACTTTATAAAAACATTGTCAGTTTTCTATGATCACTTATTTTAGTAACCTGTGAACTTGTAACACCACACCCACCCTTTCTAGCCCCTACCCAACCAAACCCTCCCCCCTGCCCCCCAACCCTGAAGCCTGGCCCATAGCACTGCAGCAGCCCTGCTGATAGGGTTTCACTCTCTCCAGGGCGAAGAGGAGGGCAGGCAGTACAATACAAGCTCTTGGACACAAATCTACCTGGAAATCTATATTCCTCCTCCTCTGAGCAACACCTTTTTTCTGTGACCTTCTGTGACCTGTGGATAACTGGGTCTGAGGTAAGACATTAGCGAAGTGATATTGTGTGACCGCAGCTATAAAGAAATGTCTCTCACACGTGCCTTGAGTGTTTGTGGAGTATCTGGCACTGATGCTCACAGAGTTGTCAAATCATTCTAGATCCTATTTAAATACAGTGAGACAGTTCAATGTAAGTCCTGTAGTATTGGGATTTTGGCCATGGCCTGTGGAGGTTTTAGTATTTCGAATACATTAATGAATTAAAAGAGAAGCAGATGCTCTACTTCATATTAACTGTTTTATTTTTTTAATGTCCCAGAAATTGCTAAAGAATTGCTTTACATGATACTTAATTTGACCGGTTTATTGCAAATACAGTTTCTCGAGTAAAACGTTGCTTCAAATGTAATTATTTCTAAATCACGAGTGCCAGATGGTAGATTTCTTCCACCCGCTCTTGCTGTACTTAACACTGTGGTAGGGGATGAATGTGGCCTTCTGCATTGGAGTTTTTAGTCCGCGGGTATGGATCTATGTGTGTATTTTGGAATGTGCTTACTGATGCCCTTTTGCCCTTCCTCCCCAGCTGTCTCCTCAAGATTTATCAGGAGCTAAAATCGGCTGGTCGTGGTGGGTGGGGGGGGGGTCAGCACCATAGGAGCGCCTCTTCTCTCAGAGAGGTGGTAACTAGACCCAGGCCCTCCAGCAGAGCAGTTTACCTCCATCCGGCCTGTCCCAGAACATTCAAAAACACCTGTAATCCCCAGTTTTAATCCATGGCCAATGACTCACATTAATCACAAGAGAAAAGCCATTTGAGTGCAAATCCGTGAGTGTGTGTGCTGGTACTTTTAAATGTACAGTCCCACTCCTCCACTATAGAACATGGGTACATAAAAATAGCGCACAGAACTGAATCCCAGGATAGGAAATGAGCTTCAATTACAGCAGATGAAAAGCAATTACATTAACTGTCTCCCTGCAGACCGGCCAGCCAGCTTTTTCTCTTGTAGTGGGACTCACCTCCAGCCTTACATAATTGCTTTCGACCCTGGTAACAGCAACATACTGCCAGCCCCCATTTGAGTGGTTAGCCAAGAGAGACACGAGCTGCCATTGGGAATGGTAGTCCTCTAGGGCATGCGGGGGGGGGCTATACACAATGTTGTGTATAGTCCCCCCGCACACAATAGCCCTGTGCTTAAAATAATTACAGAACCCAGTGAGGTTTCTGCTGGAGCTTGCTAGAAATTGGGATGTGATGTGCAACCTAATTGTACAGAAACATATCTTGGAAATCAAGAGAGACTTTTCTTGAACTACTTACAGTATGCAAACAATTTTGTGGTTTCACATTTCACTGCTGCTAATTCTGTCTCTGTTGGACCCCCGAGAGACCAAAAACATTCGAGCATTAGGGGTATAATTCTTAAAGATCCGTTAAGTCTGTCTCACACTTTAAATTCAATTCAATTAATGATAGATTACAAGTTAAATCAAGCCAATTTATTTACAGAGCATATTTAAAACCAAATGTTATATAAGCAATTGATATGCTATTAGAAATACAATTAAAACACACAATAATACATTCAGTAAATGATGTAAACTTCACTGATCTGAGACCACTTTATATCGCAAACGTAGTTTT